GGATCATAGTGACTTTTTTTAAAAAATGTGCTTATAAAGTATTGTGCTTATATAAAGGTTTTTTTCCTATATGTTTATAATAGTTGGGTTTAAAATAGATGTGCTTATAAAGAGGTTTTTATATGATGTGCTTATATAGGGGTGACTATAGAGAGGGATGACTGTATTCGGTTTATTACAATTAGTTGTGATACCAGACGTGAAACTCTGAAATACAATTCTTTCTTATTAGTGACATAATATAGACAAATTTGGTTTTATAAATTTGAAATTATTGTTCATGTGTCAAATAATACATTATACTAAATTTAGTATAATACTTAGCAATTGCATCGTTTTATTTAATATATACAGTATTTGGGGAATCCATAATTTACGTTAAACCAGTATTGCAGATCTAAATAATACCATACGGAATTGTCTTTAATATTATGTTCTATTAAAATTTAAACTAATTTAAGCAAATTTATAAATAGTTAGGGTTAGGGTTAGAGTTTAAACTAGCTCAAAATAATTAATTTTTATATATTATATAAATTTATTTATAATAATTATATATGTCCACTTACACTAAGTAAGATTCTATACATTTTATATTTGTATATTACACTATGGCAGTAGTGCGCATCGCAGATATTTTATTATTTACGTAAAAAAAAAACTAATAAGATCTAATTGTAAAAAATAAATAATTACAAATAAAACAAATGCTGTGAATATATTTTTAAATTTTTATGTACTGTATAAATATAATTCTAATTTAACTAAGAAATGTTCTTAAAAAATTAAAATGTCATAATATTTAATATTATATTGTATGACTAAATTAACTCTTGCCCATCATCTGGGGTTATTAACCCATCATCATCGGATGATGATGATGATGATGTACTACTAGTTGAAGATATGTCATAAGAACTTATTGCTTCACCAATACTACCAACACTACCGCTAGTATCGCTATCAGTTTCACCATAATCACCATGTTTAGCTTGTTTCATTTCATCTGATTCATCTTGGCCACCTTCACTGCCACTGCCACTAAGAGGACTAAGCGCATCGAGTGCTTCGGGAGAACTTGAACTATCACGATTAATTCGGCCGAGTCCATCATTAGGTCCAAAACGATTGTATCTATTTCTTCGCTCTTCACGTTTCAATTCCTCACGACCTCTTTGTATTGCACGTTCAATTCTTAATCGATTAGAGATCATGTGAATTTTTGGCCATGTAACACGTTGTCCTTTAATTATCATTTGTTCTAATCTATTGTAACCTGGATCTGTAAGGATATAAAAGAAATCCCACAAAGTTGATTTTGGCCATATAGTAATATTTCCTTCAAATCTTTGTAACCAAATTGAACTCCAGTCTTGATCAAGAAATTTTGGTAGAAGCTCAAGATCTCTAACCCATTTTAACCATTTACTCAAATCTAACTTTAAATACTGTTCTATACTTGCAACAACGAAACCTCCACGCCATCCTCTACCATGACGATGACTAACAGGACGACCAACTGAACCACGTGGAGCATAAAAGAATAGATGAATGTGGGGATTGACTTGAGAAACAATAGTATTTTTCACATTGAAGTGCATGTAAAGCGATTGAATAGGAATATCAGTACGTAAAGAACCATCTTTCCATTTATGACCATAGTTGTAAGGAGTTATTGAGCCATTTTTCAATTTTTGCATAAGAACCACGGGGTTAAGAATGCCAGGAACAGCAGCACTTGCAATCACTATAAATTATAAATTAAATTAATATTATTAATATATTAAATTAAATTAATATTATTAATAAATCACTAAGGAATAAATTAAATAAATTAGAAATTCATGATTTACCTGCAGACCAGATAACGCAATCAGGAGCAGTAATATAGTTCAAAACTTTAGGTGGAGAATGTGGGTCATAAGGTATAACAGAAATATTTAAGATCCTTCCAGTTCGTTCATAAGCTTCTCTGAATGTTAAGCTTCCTCTTGTAATCCATTGAACTTTTCTAGACCAATCGCCAGCATCAAATCGAGCACCCTAAAAAAAAATTCATTATAAAATTCCATTAAATATAAATTTACATTAAAAGTACTATCAATATGATATTAATTATTATTATAAAAAAATTTTATCAATATGTACCGTTAACCACAATCTCTTGAGCCACTGAGGAAATCTTTCAGAACAAGCGGTAAGACGTTGGCATAATTCTGGTCTCAAGACTTGAAACAATTCATCATCAGTTCTCACACAAACCAAGGCAGCAATTAACGCGCCAGCACTGGTACCAGTAATAATTGTGGGCAAGATATCAGCATCGAATAAAGCTTTAACGACACCAAGATGGTAGTAACCGAAGCATGCACCACCACTGAGACATAAAGCTGTTCTGCCATAGTTTTTATAAGTATTTCTAAAAAGTTTGCGCTTTTCTTCAAATGGCAAATCTTTAGTAATCCGTAAAATATCAAGTGAATCACCCACTAAAAATAACAAATAAATTAATCAATATATAAATATAATTATATAACTATATAATTGTGTAATAATAATTAATAAACTCACCTTCATCATAATATTCTTCAACAATTTTTTTGGTTCCATAATAAGTCTGAGAATATAACCTAACATTTTCCACTCCTGCAAAGTTATTCTTTACGCAATGTTGAAGAGCACTTTTTAACGTTGATAAATTTTCAATTGGACCTTGTTTTAAATTCTTAAGGTCTTGATTAACTTTTTGCAAAAGATTAAAATCATAATATCCAAATGGAATTTCATCTTTCCAATCATTATAACCCAAATACGAATCAAGATTTCTTGCTGCAGTAATCCATTCATTATAGGTTGTAGATCGACGAAGTTTTTCGCGTAATAAGTACTTTTCACCACGCCTTTATTAACGTAATAAACCAAAAACATTAATAATCACAATGATGATAATAATAACAAACCTTTTAAATTAAAATTTTATCATATAAACCTACCATTGAACGAAATACTCCCAAATATTTACAATTTGACGTATCAAAATGTATAAAATAAGTTCGAATGTAATGATCATAAAAATAATCAACTATATCAATAAATAAAAATTGGTTAATATTTTATAGATTTGCAAAAAAAAAAGGAAATTGAATCATTAACATACCATCAATGGAAACCTAACGATATGATAGGAAACACCTTCAAATCCTTTCGGAATATATTGTTTTTTCTTTTTAACTTTTTGATGGATCGGCATGAAATCATTCATAGCAGCAATATGTTCGGCTGAACCCTTATCAGGATCTTCAGCAAGAGCTTTTTCGAAGGCAGCACTATGATTCTCATTAATATGCTCAAGAGAAAATTCATCAGGAGTATGTTGACTATGTTTTTTTGATTTATTAGTATGTCTTCGAGAACCTCTCAGGTTCGAATATGTCGTCGCCCTTCTTGATACAGACATGATTACTAATTTTTTTTTTAACAGTGATCTGATGTTTAGGATGCTAAGATGATTTCTAAGATGATTTTATGAATTGAGAAATTTAGAAAAGAATTTTAATTGTTTTTTTGATTGTTGAATAAAAAAATATGCTTATTCAGAATTAAGTATTTACAAAAGTGATATATAAGAAAAATTTAATTATTTTTGACCAAACGTTAAGTCAAACTTATTACAAGCAGATCAACTGCATGTATTGCAACGCAAATAAAGTCCACAAAAAGCGAAAGTTTCGAGTGAATTGTTTTAAATATTTTTTTTTTTTGTTTTGGCAGACAATTGTAATATTTACAGAAATTGATTGATTGATTATTTACGCAAGCAAAAAAAAAATAAAAAAAAATAAGAAAACAATAGAAAACAAATATTAAAAGATAAAATCTAAGACTAAAAAACTGAAAAGAATGCTTTTTTTTATATTTACCATATACTTCTAAAAATATATATTCTGTATACAATACATCTTGTACAATCATACGGTAATATTAAAAATGGTAATGACAGAATTTACCCCAAAAAAAAAATATGCTAAAGTTTTTTGGGGGGAGAAAAAAAAATATTGCTGCAAGAAAACGTGACTAATCAGATTAAAGATCTTTGATGATAGATCCCTGAAATTTTTGATAATTCTCAGGGGCTCTATATGTTTATTTTCGAGAACATGTGAATTCAATTGGCACCGCACATACATCAATATGCAAGGTTAATATGTAGCTTTAAATTGCATTTTGACCTTTTCATTTCAAGACACCTTTGATTTTGAAAGTTGCATTCTAAGTATTTAATTATTCGTTCTACGATTGGCTGTTTTGGGGCCATTGCATATTTTTATCTGTTATCAAATATTAATCATCTTGTTTAAGAATGATTACAATAATAAAATAGTAAAATTTGTTATTGTTACTCATCTAATAAATGAAAAAAATTGTCCGAAAAAATAACGATTGTGCTTAGAGAGGTCTGTGTAATACCAAAAA